TAGATAAGGAAAAATAGGAACAATACAGGTATGGTAAAGGGAGGGGTGGAAGGAAAGGGGAAGGGGAAGGGAATAAGGAATAGGCACCCACAGGAATGAGGAGGCTCGCGAGGACCAGCCCTGCCCCGCGTCCCATAGCAGCTCTGTGAAGCTTTGGGGAAAGGAGGCCAGCCTGGGGAGGGCAGCAGAGACGCCTTGAGAAGGTCCAGAGATCCTTTTGCCCTCTGTAGTATGTTATATCCCCCCATTTGGTAGCATGTCCAAAACTGATTACAATGTTTTCTTACTCCTAACCTAATTATAAATATGTTAAAAAGCACAAGCCCCGCAATTCCTCACTTCCTTTCAATCAGATCTGGAGCCTTTAATAAGCCCTTGTTGGATTTGAACTCTCCACCGGCTCTATCCATGTAATGGTAGTTAGTGTAGGCCAGCCACAGGTTGCCTTCTTCTTCTTCACCAGGATTTCATTGATTTGCTGAAGTCAAATTAGATAATGTCCACTGCATTCCCATAATCAACTAAATCAGAGAGTGTGTCAAAAAATATCAGATTGATTTGAGGTCACCCCAAACCCTTAATGGTCCTGCTAAGCACTAAAATATGATGGATCTGAGATGGCCAAAGGAGCTCTTTTGAGATTCCTGACATCCTGCCTTGAAGACTTCAACTCACCCATGCTCTCTCTGTCTCTGTCTCCATCTCTCCCTCCCTGTCTCCCCCCCCCTTCTCTCCTGGTCCCTGCTGGTGATTCTGCCCAGCTCCATCTGGACTCTGGGGGGGGGGGGGAGAAGACCCAGAGAAGTAGCAGCTCTGCTCTTTGCCTGGCTCAGCCGCTCAGCCTGGGGCCCTGACAGGTTAGGGTACCCTGGGTGTGTCTTGCCCCCAGGCTGTCCATCACCTTGGTTCTTAACTTTTAATCTCTTTATTCTAGTTTCAATTCTTTTTAGCACTTTTTAACATTTATTACATTGTAAGCCACCCAGAGTTGCTGTATTAGTGAGATGGGTGACATAAAAAGTTATTAAAATAAAATAAGCTCTCTACTTCTGGGTTGTTGTTTTTTTGACATGCTGAGGTGGAGCTTTTTGTCTCTGGACCTTTAAGCAAAAATGCCAAGTTACTTTTTCTTGTTCCTCTAACTGCTCCACTTGCAAAGGTCTTGATTGCAATTCCAGGTGTTATTAGTGAACAGTTTGTGGCCAACCTCTTTGGCTTCTTCAGGTAAGTGTTGAAATAGGTTCTAGCTAAGTGCTGGTTCTAAGGATGACTCTGTCAAGCAAAGCTTGGGCCAAGTGATTGGGATGGACGAGGTCTGGGTGAAGCTCATTCATGGCTCCTTTGCAAAACCCTTTCATAATTTCCTAATAAATTAATAGGCCAGATCCTGAGTGGATTGGCTGCAGGTTCCCAAAGTCTTCAAGGGCAAAGGCTGAGTAAAGTGCAGAACAGTAGTAGATGAGTAGTAGAGACAAGCAGAGCCTCTGTACCCGAGAGTTCGCTTTGAGCCCCCCCTCCAGATGGGGGTCCTACCCAGCCTCTCCTGGAAACCTGCAGACTGGCACCCAGGGAGCTTCTGAGAGACCAGGGAGGCCGAGGTTGCTCAGGGAAACATTTTATTGGAGAAGAGCATCTGATGGGTGAAGTAGGAAGGGTCACCCCCCCCAAGGCCCCCCAAGGCAGAAACCAGGGAAGCCTTGCTCTCTTCATCCTCTCATTTGATGCGGTAGAAGATGCTGGTGCGAAGGCTACAATGAAGCAGGAGGGAGGGAATTGTCAAAATTCATATTGGCATGATTGGTGTCCCCCCCCCCCCCCCGGCTGAGCATTCCACTCCCACCCCATTGCCTCCTCCCACCCACTCACGTGAGAATGAAAGGGGGGGCAAAGGAAATGGATTCGGCTGGTTCTCAGGGGCAGTCAGGGCCAGGTAAGTACCCAGCCATGCATTGCAGGCCACCTCTGATGAGGGGAAGGACACTGATCCAGAGCAGGCTGGGCTAAGTCTCCTCGGCCTTCGGGGGGGGGGCACCCTTGAAGCAGCTCCATCCAGGTGTCCCAGAAGTGTTGCCAGCTGTGGGCAACCCAGACTCTGGTGCCAGGCAAACAGCACTTGTCAGTGAGAAGGACCTGGGCAACCTCCTCCAAAGCTTTGCTGTGTTTCTTTGTGGGGGAATTGGCAGAAGTGGAGTCTCCTAGACTCAAAATGCCAGCCTCTCTCACAGGAGCTGCTCAGCCCTGGGTGAGGAAACGTCCCCGAGAGGCAAACCATTGGGTCGTCCTGGTCGTCCTTTCAAGAGCCACTTTGAGGGGGGGGGGAAAGAGAGAGAAAAAGAGAAGTGTCCAGGGCCCTTCCAGTTAGGGGGCACAGCAGTTCAGTCCCTGCGTTTCCTTACCGGGTCGCCCCCCAAACGTCTTCTGGGAATTCCACTTCGCTACGCACCACCCAGGTTGTCCTCAGCTGCTCCTTTCCGTTCTCGTCCACCAGACACTGGCCCGCAAAGACGAAGGTATGTCCTGTCAGATCAAAGTTGTTGTACCAATTAGGGGGGGGGATATAGTTCGCATAAAGACCCCCTCTCACCTATGCTACCTTTAGATTGGGAATCTTTTATAGATATTTGGGCATCTCCATCTGATGGTTGGGGGGGGGAAGGAGGGAGGAGATTCAGTGAAAGAATCTGCAAGAGGCAGATCTCAGGAAGGGGCGATCCACTTGATTCCTTCTTCCCGTTCTATTTGCTTCCACAACAAAAACTGAGTGGCTCTACCATCGAGCTCCCCGCTGACGATGAGGCCAAAGGTAGGCTGGGTCCACTGGTGCTGGATGCCCTGCAGCGAGGATGGATAGATGTGCTTTGTCGAATAGAGAAAGAAGACGCCGCTCAACACCCCCGTGTCACTAACGCTGTTGATCTCTATGGTGTTCCCATGGTCATTCATCCAGATGCCGGTCAGGGAGCACTAAAAAAAAGCGGGAGAGGGGAGGAAAGCGGCTCACGGCGCTAGCCAAGCCCAGCTGTCCAACAGGTAGAGGCTCTGCCTCCATTTTCTCCGGGGGATCTGAAAACACCCGCTGCTCCCACGTGCCCGATCTCCGGGCTGCCCACGCCGCGTCGGGCTGAGAATGGCGGCCATCCCAAAGTCCGTCGGTCGAGGCGCTTGCGGGTGCATCGCTCTGCCAGCAGCGCATTCGCGGCCGAGCACGGAGGAGGACACGCTCGGCCGACTGTCCGTCGGAGACCGAAAGCCTCTTAGCGCGACGGCACCGGGTGCGATCAACCCCGAGGAAGCGGCACCCTCTGCGCAGCGCGCCGGCTCCCACCAGCTGCTCCTGCCGCCCACCCGAGCAGAGGCTGGTGTGTGTGTGTGTGGGGGGGGTCTTTCCACACGGGAGGCTGGAGCTCTCCGCCCGTCACCTCGGATCTCACCTTGACGGGTCGCTCCGAGTTTTGGGGTTCGGCAAAGGTTCCCGAGCAGCCGAGCAGGAAAGCGAGGAGCCCCAGAGCTGCCAGGCCAATCGCCATGGTGGTCTCCAGGAATCTAGACGTGCCAGCCCCAGGCGGGACGCCCCTTATAAAGCCCCGCTCGCACCCGCTCTCCCCCCCCTTTCAGCTGCCGCCTCCCTCCACCACCCCCAGCGGCTGGGAGGGGCGGGATCCCCGTCCGAGGGGCGGAGGCTTCTGCGAAATCGCTGGTCCTGCTGCGAGCGCTGAGCAGCACTTGGGCAGGAAGAGGGGAGAGGGGCATTTCTCCTCTGGAACCCCACCGCCTCTGACCCAACACGGGCATTCTTACTCACCTCCTCCTCCTCCTGCTCCTCCTCCTCCTGCTGCTGCTGCTCCTGCTCCTCCTCCTCCTCAATTAGCTTTCCCAATTAGCTTCCCCAATTAGCTTAAATCCCGGGCTTTCTCCTCAGCTCCTCAGCCCGGCAAACCCTTATCAGCTTCTCCTTGGGTTCCCACAGCAGCCTTGTTATTATGGCTAGCTGAGCTTACATTCCCCCCTCCCCCCATGCACCTGATTTCTAAAGGTAAGAAAAAGCCTATTAAAGGAATAGAGAAAATGGCTGCATTTTCATCAGTTGTCAGAGCGGGAGAATACAATGTCAGCAGCGTTGACATCCACCACCCCCCTTAAAAAAAGACAAATCCTTCAATTCAAACAAAATCATAGTTTAGGGGTCGCCCCTTGGTTTGTTAGGGTGTTTCTCATAGAATTTATTAATGAGCCTGTCTGCTTTTACATCACTAGATTTTACCCATGTGGCTTCAGTCAAAGGGTATCCTTTCCTCTGCACTAAGTACTGTAACTTTCCCTGAAAAAGTCTAGAATCAAGAATAGGCTTCCCTTCATAATGAGTCTGCCTGGCTGGCTACCAGGAGAGGCCCAGATGCCTTCTTAGGGGGAGGCCTTAAGGTGGAGCCCCGAGACAGGCTCAGCAGTTAGCTAGAACCTATTTCCACACTTACCTGAAGAAGCCAAAGAGGTTGGCCACAAACGGTTCAGTTATAACAACTGGATTTGCAATCAAGAATTTTGAAAGTGGAGCAGTTAGAGGAACAAGAAAAAGTAACGTGGCATTTCGCTTAAAGGTCCAGAGGCTAAATGCTCCACCTTAGAGTGTCAAAAAACAACCCCAGAATTGAGAGTTTATTTTATTTTAATAACTTTTATGCCACCCATCTCACTAATACACTGGTTGGCTTACATTGTAATAAAAATTAAAAAGTTCTAAAAAGAAATGAAACCAGAATAAAGAGATTAAAAGTTAACAACCCAGGTGATGGACATTCTGGGGCTAAGAATCTTGTCTACCCCATGAGACACCCCCAGGGTACCCTACCCTGTCAGGATCCCAGGCTGAGCAACTGAGCCAGGTTTTCAGGCCCTTCCAGAAGGCCAGGATTGTATTCTTTTGTGTTTGTGTGTGTGTGTGAGGAGGAATCTCACCTCTGAGGGTAGAACTTTCTAGGGGGGGGGGCAAAGCAGAAAATGCTCTTCTCCTGGAGCCCAGCAGCAGAAATTCTTTTTCCAATGGGATCCAAATTAGGCTGCTTCCACTGGAAGGAGAGGGGCCAAATAGTCCCATTGGGGAGAGGCAGTTCTGCACATACCCCAGCTGCACTAAGTGCACCCCAATGCTTATTATGGGATGTTACCCAGCTGCATTTGTCTTCAGCACATCAGGAACAGGTGATGAAATATAATGAAATGCTGATGTGTTTAGGACTTATATTACTTTTATTGCAAAGTTAAAGTAATAGAACCTTGCAAGGCTGAATCTACCTCCCTCTCTTCATCTTCCTGAAAGGGAAGAAATTCCTTAGGCCTGAGACCCTTCCTCAAGTTTCATTTCTACTTTGGACACAGTTTTTTTCATCTGATCCTCACTTCTCTTGAGGCTCTTCCTCCTGTTTCCTCTTGTAGCCCATTCTGTCACCAGGGAGGTACACCAGCAAATGGGTAATCTGATGCACAACTGGAAGAGATGCTCAGAAGAGAAGATAAAAGCGAAGGAAAAGGGGGGGGGGTTTGGCTGGGTCTGTTGTCCAAGGAAGGGAAAGAAAAGACTGGATCTGCTGCCAGGAGGACCTGGTTGGAGGTGAACAAGGAAGAGGCAAAGAGAAGAGCTGCTCCTTCCCTGGGTCTTCTCCCCCAAGATTCCAGATGGAGCTGGGCAGAATCACCAACAGGGACCAGGAGACAAGAGAGGGAGGGAGAGAGAGGCAGAGAGAGAGAGGGAGGGAGAGAGAGAGAGAACATGGGTGAGTTGAAGTCTCTAAGCCAGGTTGTCCAGGAGTCCCAAAAGAGCTCCTGGGGGCATCTCAGACTCATCATATTTTAGTGCTTAGTAGGCGCATCAAGGGTTTGAGGGTGATGCCAAATCAACCTGATATTTTTTGATACACTGTCTGATTTAGTTGATTATGGGAATTGATTTTCTATACTACCTGCCATCCTGCATTCATGCACTTGATTCTTCTTTCTACACAAATGTTGGACTTTGCATTTATTCCTGTTGAAATTAATCATCCTAATTTTTGCCCATTATTCCAGCTTTTAAAGATCCTTTGTAATCTTCATTCTGCCCTCTGAAGTATTTTACATACCCCCATTTCGTATCATGTCCAAAAATGTTTACAATTTTCTAACTCCAAAATTAACTTAATTAATTATTAATTATAATTCATTAATTATAAATATGTCAAACAGCACAAGCCCTGCAATTCCTCACTTCCTTTCAATCAGATCTGGAGCCTTTAATATGCCCTTGTTGGATTTGATCTCTCCAGTGGCTCTATCCATGTAATGGTAGTGTAGGCCAGCCACAGGTTGCCTTCTTCTTCTTCTTCTTCACCAGGATTTCATTGATATTTCTCAATTGTTTTGCTGAAGTCAAGGTACATAATGTCCACTGCATTCCCATAATCAACTAAATCAGACAATGTGTCAAAAATATCAGGTTGATTTGGGGTCACCCCAAACCCTTGATGCTCCTGCTAAGCACTAAAATATGTTGGGTCTGAGATGGCCCCCAGGAGCTCCTTTGAGACTCCTGACAACCTGCCTTGGAAACTTCAACTCATCCATGCTCTCTCTGTCTCTGTATCTTTCTCCATCTCTGTCTCTATCTGTCTGTTTCTGTCTGTCTGTCTCCCTCTGTCTGTGTCTGTTGTGTCTGTGTCTGTCTGTCTGTCTGTCTGTCTGTCTGTCTGTCTGTCTGTCTGTCTGTCTGTCTGTCTGTCTCTCTCTCTCTCTCTCTCTCTCTGACTGTCTCTGTCTCTCTGCCTCCCTCTCACCCTCTTGTCTCCTGGTTCCTGCAAGTGATTCTGCCCAGCTCCATCTGGAGTCTAGGGGGAGAAGACCCAGGGAAGCAGCAGCTCTGCTCTTTGCCTCTTCCTTGTTCACCTCCAACCAGAGGTGATCCACTGGCAGCAGATCCACTCTTTCCTTTCCCTTCCTTCGACCACTGATCCAGCCAAACCCCCCCTTTCCTTTGCTTTTATCTTCTCTTGTGAGCATCTGTTCCAGTTGTGCCTCAGATTACCCATTTGCTGCTGCACCTCCCTGGTGACAGAATGGGCTACAAGAGGAAACAGGAGGAAGAGCCTCAACCTAAATGAGGATCAGATGAAAAATAAAATATGTCCAAGGCAGAAATGAAATTTAAGGAAGGGTCTCAGACCTAAGGACTTTGTTCCCTTTCAGGAAGATGAAGAGAGGGAGGTGGATTCAGCCTTGCAAGGTTCTTTACTTTGTAATAAAAGTAATGTAAGTCCTAAACACATCAGAATTTCATTACCACTTGTTCCTGATGTGCTGAACACACATGCAGATGGGTAACATCCCATAACAAGCATGGGGGGGGGGTGCACTTAGTGAAGTTCTGGGGTATCTGAGGAACTGCCTCACCCCAATGGGACTATTTGGCCCCTCTCCTTCCAGTGGAAGCAGCCTAATTTGGATCCCACTGGCCAAAGAATTTCTGCTGCTGGGCTCCAGGAGAACAGCCTTTTCTGCTGTGCCCCTCCCCCCCCGGAATATTCTACCACCAGGGGTGAAATCCCCCCCCAACACACACACACACACAAACACAAAAGAATACAATCCTGGCCTTCTGGAAGAGCCTGAAAGCCTGGCTCAGTTGCTCAGCCTGGGATCCTGACGGGGTAGGGTACCCTGGAGGTGTCTCATGGGGTAGACAAGATTCTTAGCCCCAGAATGTCCGTCACCTTGGTTCTTCACTTTTAATCTCTGTATTCTAGTTTCATTTCTTTTTAGCACTTTTTAATTTTTATTACAATGTAAGCCAACCAGAGTTGCTGTATTAGTGAGATGGGTGGCATAAAAGTTATTAAAATAAAATACGCTCTCCACTTCTTGGGGTATTTTTTGGCATGCTTAAGGTGGAGCTTTTTGCCTCTGGACCTTTAAGCAAGTTCATTATGTTCATTATGTTTTCTTGTTCCTCTAACTGCTCCACTTGCAAAATTCTTGATTGCAAATCCAGTTGTTATAACTGAACCGTTTGTGGCCAACCTCTTTGGCTTCTTCAGGTAAGTGTCGAAATAGGTTCCAGCTAACTGCTGGTTCTAACAATGACTCTATCCAGCAAAGCTTGGGCCAAGTGATTAGGATGGGCCAGCTCTGGGTGAAGCTAATTCATGGCTCATTTGCAAAAGCCTTTAAGGACTTCCTAATAAAATAATTGGTCAGATCCTCAGTGAATTAGCTGCAGGTCCACAAAGTGTTCAAGGCCAAAGGCTGTGTAAAGTGCAGACCAATAGTAGAGACAAGAATTAGCTTTGAGCCCCCCCTCCAGATGGGGATCCTACCCAGCCTCTCCTGGAAACCTGCAGACTGGCACCCAGGGAGTTTCTGAAAGACCAGGGAAGCTGAGGCTGCTCAGGCAAACATTTTATTGCAGAAGAGCTTCTGATGGGGGAGGTAGGAAGGGTCGCCCTCCATGCCCCCCCCAGGAAGAAACCACGGAAGCCTTGCTCTCTTCAGCTTTACTCAGTGC